AACCTGCTCATGGACAAGAAAGAAGCCTTCGCATGGAGTTACAAGGACATGCCGAGTATTGACAGATCTATAATAGAGCATAGTATTCCACTGTATCCTGGGGCCGAGCTAGTGAAGCAGAAGAGGAGAAAGTTGAGACCAGAATGGGCCAAAAAGATTAGAGAAGAAGTGACCAAGAAGATTGATGCCCAATTTTAGAAGTGGTTCACTATCCAGATTGGTTAGCCAACATAGTTCTAGTTCCTAAGAAGGATGGACGAGTCAGAATATGTGTGGATTACTGAGACCTAAATAGAGCATCATCGAAAGATGATTTTCCTCTTCCTCATATCGATATCTTGATCAACAGTGCAACTGTGATGCGATATTATTCAATTATGGATGGATTTGCAGGTTACAATCAGATTCTTATGCCATTGTTAGATAAGGCCAAGATAGCTTTTGTCACAGAATTTAAAACTTTCTGCTTCCAGAAAATGTCGTTTGGTTTGAAGTACGCTGGAGCTACTTATCAAAGGATGGCTACTACTTTGCTCCATGATATGATCCATAAGGAGTTAGAAGTCTACTTTGATGATATGATTATCATGACAAAGACACCAAAGAAGCATCCAATGGCTCTAGAGCGATTTATGGACAGGGTTATCAAGTATAGGCTACGATTTTCGAAGAAATGTGTTTTTGGGTAACTTCAGGTAAGGTGCTGGGGTTCATTGTGGGTCCAAAAGGATTAGAAATTGATCCAGATAAGATCAAAGCAATTTAGGAAATGTAGCCCCCTAAGATGGAGAAGCAAGTGAGAAGGGTTTTAGGTCAGATTCATTATATTAGTATGTTCATATCGAAGTCGTCTATCGTATATGATCCAATTTTTAAGCTACTAAGGAAAGATCAGCTAGTTAAGTGGAACAATCACTGTCAAATAGGTTTTGATACTTGATCACTTGTCGAGTGCCCCGATTTTGTGCCCACCAAAACAAGTGAATCAATTAATCTTATACTCGACAGTGGAAGATGTCAAAATTGGTGCCATATTAGCAAAAGTTGATGAAGTAGATGTTGAAAAGGCAATTTATTACTTGAGTAGGAAGCTTCTTCCAAATGAGCAAAAATATAATTTGATCGAAAGAACTTGTTTAGCTATGGTTTGGGCAACTTGAAAACTTCACCATTACTTTCAATCCTATAAGGTAATCACGGTTTCTAGAACGGATCCGGTTAAGTATTTATATGGAACATCCGCACTGGTAGGAAAATTAGCAAGGTGGTTAATCCTATTATTTGAATTCGAAATTGAATATGCCACAAGGAATACTGTCAAAGGACGAGCAGTTGTAGATTTTCTTACAACATATCTAGTTAAAGATGATGAACAGTGGGAAATTGACTTTCCCGATGAACATTTGAACGTAATAGAAAAGTAAGGATGGAAGCTCTACTTTGATGGGTCAGCTCGTAGTAAAGGAGCAGTAGTAGACGTCTTGCTTGAGTCCCCACAGGGTGAAGCTACCTTGATGTTAAAAAGTTTATGATTTGCAATTGCAAATAATATGGCCAAATATAAAGCTTGTTTATTTGGATTAGAAGCTCTGATTATTATCAAGGCCAAAGAAGTTGAGGTCATTGGTGATTCAAAGTTGGTAATCGAGCATGCTAATGGAAATCGGGAAGTAAAGGAAGACATTTTGAAGTCATAAACCGACTACCTGGATATTATTATTAAGAACTTCACAAGAGTAACCTTCGCACACTAGTAGAGTGATTAACAGCATTCCAAATGCTTTGGCTAATCTAACATCATTTTGGGAAATGATATTGTCTATGCTAAAGAAGCCTTTTATAATGTCTTCGAGTAGCATCTCGTGTTATGAAGGAGAACAGATTATTGATATCGAGGAAGATGATCAGCCATGGTTCCATGATATTCTGCAATGGATGACTAAAAAGGTTTATCCTAATTCAGCTACTAGAGATGACAAATGAGCTTTACAATGCTTGGTACTACAGTTTGTAGTTTTAGATGGTCAATTGTAGAAGACAATATCAGATAGTGTACGGTTAAGATGTGTATCGATGAAGGAAGCTGAGAAAATAATGGAATAGGTCCACGTGAGAGTTTGCAGCACCCATATGAGCGGACAAGCTTTAGCAAAAAAGATTCTCAGACAACGGTTCTTCTAGTTAACAATAAAAAGATATTGTTGTAGACGCTCAATTTTGCCCCAAAAAGACTCAGTGGTGATAATCTTTTTGTGATAAAATGATTTTGAGACATCCGATGAATTTGATTCTCGGACCAATGATCCGAGTTTCAAAAATGTAACCCATCGGGTCATTTTCACATTTTCAGGGTTCGCGTCAAAACAGGGCTCGGGAATGCGTCTTGGTTACACCTGTAACGCATCCTAGTGCACTGCCTCATTTTGCATGCCGCCTGGGTTAATTTCGTGAAAATAGGGCCCAGCTAGATTTTGGGGCCCACCACTTGCCACCTAAGCCCTGAAAATTAGGGCAACATTCCCCTTTTTCCTATAAATAGGGCATTGGGAATGTGCTAGGGGGAAAAAAGGGGGTTACTTAACAAAACTCTTCCATTTTTATTTCTCAAAACTCTTTTAACCTAAATCCATAACAAGTTTTATATATTAGGTTTAAGTCAAAATAGTTTTCCATCAAAGATTTCAGTGGGTTGTGTAATCAATCTTTCTCAAAGCACTAATCAAGTAATACAAATCTCGAATCATTGATCAAAGAACAAAGTTCTTGGGTGTTTCTTGCCATTTTGAATCCAATCTTGAGTTTTTCTTCAAAACAAGGTAAACTGAGAGTCTAAACCTTCTTCTACATCTTTTTCTTTTCTTTAGTGTTAAAAAAACACGTCTTGTAAGTCTGGTTATGAGGGAGACCCGTGATCAACCAAGAAAAGAGTTGTCTGGGTAGTAGTGGCACAAGCCACACACAGTGGCGCAGGCCACAGGTGCAATAACGCAAGCCACGGGCAGTAGTGGCTCACATCACTAGCAGTGGCTCGAGCCACTTCTTCATAGATAGCTTCAAAGCTCTTTTCTTGAGTTTTATTATCAGGGCAAGACTCATATGCCACTACGTGTGGCGTGCGCCACTTCTAGTTGCGCCCAGGTCTTCATTTCAGAATCTCAATAATATAAAATCAATAACCTAGCTTTGATTCCAGGATCCAATCTAGCCAAGCCTTAAGCATCTTTGCTTAAAGTGCGTATTAAACTCATTTTTGGTCCGAAAGACCAAATAAAGAATGGAAATGGATAGTGATGGTCATAGTTGTTCATCATTCATGATGAGCAACAAAGTTTTGAACTCAAATCCTATTCTAAGTTAAATAATAGTGCTTTATTATTCTGCCATTTACTTTCCAATTCTTTAAATTCCAGTATTTTACTTTTTATACACTTTACTTTAATGTTCTTTAGTTTTTGTTAATCTAACCCATCTAACTTTAACTTAGAACATCTTAACATTAACAATCATCATCTTTATCATTGTGAATGAATTTGGTTGTTATTTAACTCTTGTAGATGCATATATTCTTTGGTTTTGATTGTTTATTTAAGTTTATTCTTTGTTTGTTAATATTGAGCTTGATGTAAAGGACCTTAATGGGTCATATTATTTGCTTGCTTGTAATAAGTTAATGGGTTGGGAAATTCTAGATGGTTAAAGGGTAGATTATATTTTAGGAGATGGTTTGTATTTTTTTCTCCTCTCCCCATTCTCTAGATGATTTAATTTGTGTTCTATGCATGATATAATGTGCTTGTTTGATATTTCTTCAAAATTGCATTAAAACTTATTTTACACCTCAATTCTGGTTAATCTTACTATTAATTAATGTGAATTAATGGACAACTAGGAGAACGGCTTAACCGGGTGATTCGAGTGCCTAACATCTTTCCGATATCGTACCTAGCTCCCTTATCCAATCTCTGGTTTAAAATCGAGTTAGTCGATTTCAAAGAATCGAGAATTTTCTCTAAAGAGAGTGGCAACTCTAAAAAAAAAACTCTTACCAAAGTAAGAGACTTTTTTCCGATGATCAATGAATGGATCTAATAACAAAAACCAATTTTCTTAAATAAAATCAATCTAGCCCATTTTGTTTTCCTTTTAGCAAAAATAAGAGTTCTTCATTGTATTTCCTTTGTGAAAAGGTGTTTTGAATGTCAGGTTCACAGAAACTTGAGCACATTCTACCATTAGAATTACATCTTTCTATTTCGCCATCACCATTTGCAAGTTGGAGAATAAAATATCATTGGCAAAAGCTCATCACCTGCATCCAATGGACATGAATTCATCGTGGTGGCAGTAGACTATTTCTTGAGATGTGTCACACCTTACCTTACTGTAAGACATGGCATGTCGCCCGTAATATACTTAATAAGCACTTAAGTCTTATAAATGCTTACTAAGTATACTACTTTCTTGAGGATGTTGTCACACCATTACCTTACTGTAAGACATGGCATGTCGCCCGTAATATACTTAATAACACTTAAGCTTTATCAATGCTTACTAGTATACTACAAGGGACTTAATACCGTTGATTCATTCATTTTATAATCTTGTAGAAAGTAGATTTTTTAATTAATAAATGTAAAACTCCTTTTGGTTTTTCATCTGTTATAAAGAAAATGTCTTTTTCCGTAATTTACTTTAAACATATGAAACATAAATTCCCATTAAGCTCTCAATATGATTTCTTAAACATCAAATTATATTAGACAAGAATATAAAATGGTTTCCATAACCCTAAGCCCATGGATGGTCCATGGATGGTTTAATTACATACTGAAATCCTTTTCAAACCTTAGATACATAATAGAAATTCATACAATCATAATTTACATGTATCTGCTCAAATAACATAGATGTTCTGTTAATGTTTAATGCATCATACATATTCCAAAAGAAGTTAAATATACAATAGCTACATCAGTAGCATATTATCTAAATCAAATAAAAATGATCCTCTCCTCTCCTAGTTCTTTTTCCTTGCCTTTTCCTACGATAGCACAAAAGCAACTATCGCTAAGCATTTTGCTTAGTGGTGTACTATTATAAAATAAACACAAATTTGTCAAATCAAACTCTTTATATGAAATAATGAATCATAAGCCATAAACCCACCATGTTAAAGGAAATAAGAAAAAAAAACAATACCATTTAAATCATAAATTCATAATGTAGTCTTTACAGCTTTTATAGAATTAATTCCAAGGGCCATCAGTATCTAATGTGCACATCTAGACCTACTGTCTACAACCTCAATCTGTGATATGATTTCAACAGAAGAGGGAGCAATCTACAAGCTCAACATGGAGGGAGAATTTCATATCAATCATATATCATCTAGTCATCTAGTGAATGAATATTCCATGTTCAATCGATCGTCAATATCAACTTCAAACAAATGAAGTGATATTCAGGGGAATTACCATGTCTATATCAGCTGTAAGACTTTTAAAACCATTTCCATTCATTGAAATTATATTAAAATCACTGTGCGGCAACATTTCATTTCGCAAACACTAACTAAAATCATTCAGTCAGCGGGCCACCCCCATACTTACAGTTTATCAATTTGGCCAAACATTCCTTCTATCAATTGGCCAACATCCTTCTCTTTCAATGTATAAGAATTATAAAATTTATTTGCATGTGTCATTAGGTCGTATGATTTCAAAATAAGCTTTATTCTTTAAAAACGTATGAAATCATTAATACTTTTTATAATTATAATTCATAAAGTAAATCCATTGAAAATATTTTGCAAAATCAATCTCATTTTGTTTAAATAAAAGTAAGAAAGGCATAATACACTAACCTGAGCTAGAAGGCTCCCCTAGCCTTTTTCCTCTATCAACCACCCTCTCCTCAACTCCCTTTCTCTCAGAAGCTGTAGCTAATACTAATATTAACTTCTACTACACAATATAGGGAATGCAAATTTTGCAAATTAAGCATGAAACACTATGCTTTTTCTATAGGAATGCAAATTAAGCATTGGAATTAGAATGTTGTGTCATGCTTTTTCTTTCATTTTCACTATGCTTGTCCAAGTGTCATATGACCTTAGTTTCAGCATGAAACACTTCATATCCAACACTTACCCACATCCTAGAAACATACTACTAACAATTAAAACAATAGAAGTCAATGGCATGCTAAATTCATTCAATGTATATGAAATGCAGAATTTCAGCATATGAGCAGCTTGCATTCCGTTGGCTATATCTTACTTTCCTCATATTCATTTTCCCTGAAATTTTTACAGCATGTTCCCAACATCTTAGGGTACTGCCCTGTAAAATTTCATAATTTTTAAAGCTCATTTTCAAATGACATAATTAAAAGACTAATTAATAGTAATCTGAATTTCAGTTTTTTCATGCCTGTAAGCAGCCTACATGGATTTAATTATAACTCCTATTGAATTTTAAAGTTTTCATTTGCTTAGTCAAATAGGTCAAATTAACAGAAGCTGAAGTTCAGGACAGGCCAACTGTAAACAGGTTCAACAAATGCATATGTTTGCTTAAGCATTCTCAACTCACTTCCAGCACAAATTTCAGTATTTCAACTCTTCTCATTACTTACATAACATTATAAATATAAGATATATAGAATCCCTAGGTCATGGCAATATCAAATCAAACTCAAAAATCATCCATCTTGAGGTAGATTATTTGCAAATTAAACTTGAATTTCATGCATAACTACTTTCAATCATCTTAAATCACCTTAAACTCATTTAATCACTTCATCTTCACCAAATCAGAATGAACAGCAAGCACCTCAATTCAAAGTGTCATGGAATTTCAAAAATGAACATCCATAGAAGAGAGGAAGGTTTGAAGATAACAACCTTTTCTTAAGAAATTACTTGAAAATTCCTTGATTTTCACCTCTTTTGCTGTGGTTTTACTCAAAACTCTTCCTCTTCTTCTTCTTGAAAACGACTTGGGACTGCAAACAATGGTCGCGAAAATGGCGTAGGTTATCTCCAACCCTTCTTCATAAAAAATATATAATAACATATTAAAAAATTCCTTCCATGGGTCCTTGAAATGAAAAAATTGCACTATATCCTCCCTTTTGTTTTCCCTTCATCCTTTGGGCACTCTAATCTTTTTAATCACTTCACTTTAGCTTAGTAAGTATTCAAACCAAGTGTTATTTTAATATTATCAAACACTTAAGAAAGGTCATACTAAACTTACCGTTTTTTTCGGGCTTTCGGATAAATCGTGCTTTACCAAAAGTCATTCCTCTTTAACTCATTTTTGATTTCCATTTAATCTTTTCAAATTGATTTGTTAATCACATTAATTATATTTAATTAATATTCCACATCCTCATATAGTGTTCCATTATTCATAAGTTTTCCTTTCAAATATATAGTGTTTCCCATTATTCTAAGTTTTCCTTTCATTCGGATAACCGAATTCATCGAAAAAGCTAGAATAGCAGGAACTACAAAGTTGAGTATATTACAAGATGGGTTGAGGCAGAATCTTTTAAGAACATCGGAGTCAAGCAAATGGCCAAATTCATTGAAAAGAATCTTATTCGCAAACATGGATCCCCCATCACATAGTGGCTGACAATGGAGTTCAGTTTCAAGCATAAGTGAAAATGTTGTTAGCTAAATACGGAATTGAGCATCATAAGTTTTCACCCTATCGTCCACAGGCGAATGGGGCAATGGAAGCTACAAACAAGAATATCAAGAAGATTTTAAGAAAAATGGCTAAGAATCATTGCGATTAGACTGAGAAATTACAGTATGCTTTGTGGGGTTACAAGACCACCGCCAAATTTGCGAATGGCATTATAAGACCAGTGCATCATTTTGCATGCCACTCAGACCGGTTTAGTAAAAATGGGCCTGGTCGATTTTGGGCCCACTAGTGACACTTGCCACCTAAGCCCTAAAAGGCCACTTCAATTCACGTATCACTTGAGTAATAGTATGAAACCCTTAAGAAATGGTGATCTACTAAGGGTTTAAGAGAGGAGGGGGGTTTTTTATCATAAGAGGGGGAACTCTTGCATTTTCTCCATTCACTTTTGATTCAAGGTTAAATCTTGTGATTCCAACTTTGAGTCTTAAGATTTATAGTTTGTTTTGATGAAAACTCCCTGAACTTTATTACTAGATATCCACAAACCCATTCATTTAACAAAAACGCGGAATATCAAACAAGGATTAAAGCTCTTGGATTCTTGGTTTTCTTTTCCTAAAACCTTTGGATTTTTACTAAAACTAGGTAATTTTTTAGAGTCCCCCTTCATTTTCCTCATCTTTTTCATCTTCTGGTGTAGTAAAAAACCATTTTTACATTGGTTGTGATGGAAACCCGTGATCAACCAAGTTCTGCTGAATGTGCTAGAAGTGACGCATGCCACAGTAATGGTGCCAAGCCATTACATATGGAGCATGCCACTAAGGCCAGCCAAACAAAACTTGCTTCTAGGCTTCTGATCAGGGCAAGACCCGTACGCCATTATGTGTGGCTCATGCCACTTCCAGTGGCACACAGGTCTTCATTTCAGACCCCAAATCCTTTAACATAATAAAATAACTTTGATTTGGGATCCATTTGAGTTTAGTTCTAAACCTTTTGCGTACACCGTAAACAAAACTCATCTATTCCCCAAATAACAAAATAAAGAATGGGAAATTGGTTGTGATAGTCATAGTTGCTCATCATTCATGATGAACAACAAATTCTTGAACCTAAATCCCATCATAAATTAAGGAAATATTATTTTATTATTCTGTTATTTACTTTCTCATTCTTTAAATTTCAGTCATTTACATTCCAAGCTTTTTACATTCATGCCTTTTGTTTATTGTTGTTCTAACCATTCTAACCTTTACTATAATCTTCCTAACATTAAAATGTGTTTGTGTTGATTATTATTGACTGATGTCGTGGATTATGTTCTATGATTGTAGTAGCTAGCTTTATTATGCATACTTTGATCCTTCATTTATTGCCTTCATATTATTTGGGCATTATGTAAATGATCTTAATGGATCCTATTAATTGCTTGATTGTATTATTTATGGGTTGAAAAATTTTAATGGGTTAAAGGGTAAATTGTAAATTAGGTGATGGATTGTATTCTTTTCTCCTCCCTCCCTTTCTTTACTTGATTAGCATGCTATGTTAAGATATCAATGTGCTTGATTACCACTTCGTTTTCAAAAAATGCACAAAAACATGTTTTACATATCAATTAAGTTAGTCAGATTATCAAAATTGTGAATAAATGGACAACAAAGGAGGTCGGTTTCTAACTGGATGGTCCGGGTGCCTAACACCTTTCTGTGACCGTACCTAACTCTCTTACCCAGTCTCTGGTTAAAACCGAGTTAATTATTTCCAAAGTAATGATTGACTCATGATGTTTTTCCTAAAGAGGGTGGTGACTCCAAAATAAGGCTCTTACCAAAGTAAGAGTAATTTTCTTTCTAAAAAATCCATTTTTCTAATAAGGTCACCTACTTGAGGATATTAAAACAGGTTTAATAAAAAGAAAACCAATTTTTATAAATTAAAATAAACCAAGCCCGTCTTTAGTTTTTTTAGTCATCGAAAAATGAATTTTCCTCAAATATGTTTTCTCATACAGATAGCTTTACATCACATTGTAAAAAGGGATGTCAATGTCCATAACAAAGGTCCTTGTAAATTCAGATAGGAAAAAAAAAAGACTCAACATATAGGAAGAACGTCATTTATAAGGAGACCCTGCTACCAAATAGGTAACAAGATACATTCACATTATCATCAATAATGTTAAAAAGATGATAGTGTTCAAAATAATAAAGATAGTGATTTCAACTTTATAGTAAAATGGTTTTCTGAAAATGGTCGAATTACTTATTAATACAGTAGCTCTTCAAAAGAGAGAAGGAGATTGACAGGGGTAAAAAAAAACCATTGTAACTAATATTTGTAATAAATAATTTATATCATTATTTGTAACATTAATGAATATAACAAGTTATAGTAGATATTTAATTAAAAATTACTACGTCTAAATATATCTTTTTTTCTCAATATCTTATCTTGCATATAATAAACTTTTGAAAAAAATCAAGAAGTAAAATTATATAACCTAGAGGTATAGCCTACAAAACTAATATCCATGTGCAACACACGTTCTACAAAACTAGTAATGAAAAAAGAGGGAGAAAAAATTAAACTTTAATTAATCAAATGTAAAGTTACAATTAAATAAATGAATTATTTTTAATCATTTTAGGCAATTTCTTCAATTTTTCAACATCATCTAAAATCCTTGCACCTTAATTTTTTCAAAATTACTCCTTAAACAATTTTTATATAAATAAGGATAAATAAATTATGTCTTTAAAGTTTAAGATTAAATACAATTAATTACCTGAATAAGTGATGCTAAGAAAATACTGTGAACATTATTTATTAATATCTATATTTTTTGTTTTATTTGGTTTAGTTCAATTCAATATGACAGTTTTGACTCTCAAATCATAACTAAATCCATATTGGTGTCTTAAAATTTCCGAACAAAACTAAACTTTAACTTTTTTTTTTTTTTTTTTTTTTTTTTTAATTTTTTTTTTTTTTTTTTTTTTTTTTGTTTTTTTTTTTTTTTTTTTTTTTTTGAAAATGGTCTAATACATTATTTCACCTTGTACTTTGTCTTTTGTGGCAATTCCATTTCAATTTAACCTTTATGTCAATTTCATTCTGAACCTTATTCTTTTCTTGTAAGAGCATCCTAAATTACAATTAGGACTTGAATTGCAAATAGAAAAATATTGTAGGTCCTAATAGGCACATATCCAAGAGGGGGGTGAATTGGTATTTAAAAAAAATTAATCCTTTTTGAGAATTACAATCATAGCAAAAGCAATAATCTATACCAACTCAAATCAGATAATAACCATGTATAAGGCAATTAAACATTTAATCTGATTTATCATAAACATTAAAACATAGAGCTTAACCGGTTACTGAATATAGCTCACTGAAATAAGTCTACAGAGATTCTGCAAGTCAGAAATTAATTTAAGCAATCTCAGAAGTCAAATGAAGTCAGTGCAACACAAATAACAGAGTTAATTCATCAAGCATAAACAGATAATCAAGTAAGTGTGTGAGAAAATAGCAATCAAGAGAAGAAAGAGGAAAAATCAACACAATCAATTTTACAGTGGTTCGGCACTTTTCACACCTACATCCATTTCTCAAGAAATCATCTTGAGATCCTCCACTATCAAACTCTTTTTTAAGGCAAGAGCAAAGTCAAATACAATAAAAATAGTTCAACACTTAGAACTAACCATTCCCTATAAGTTTTTCAAAGAAATTGTAAACTTATCCTTTCTAGTTTTTGGCAAAGAACTAGATAAAAACTTAACCTCACTATTTTTTAATAAGAACTAGGAAACTTACAAGCTAAACAACACAAGCTTCACACAAGCTTTATTCTCAAAAGATTTTTCATTTTTGTTTTTCTCTACTCTAGTCTAGATTAACTAGAACCTATAATAGAAAGAGAGTTATGCCAATTTAAGCTTAGAAAAGTGATTTTAAAATGCTTTTCAATTCATTTTTGAAAGTCGCTCTCAAAATAATGTTCGTCTTCTCTTAAACATAATGCGTTAGAAGCATAAAGAAGAAGAAAAGATGAAGGCTTATGATGAGAGTTTTGAAATTAAAACAGTAAAAATAGATTTCTCTCATGAAACTCAATTTTCTCTTCTCTTTAGGAAATAATCATGAAAGCAAGAAGAAGAGAGATGAGAGGTTTTGAATAATAAAACCCAAGAACAATTTTTGACTCTCGTGATAGACCAGGTATTCTGCCATCCTTTTATACCCAGAAAAATTGACTCTCCGTGATAGCACAGGTAT